TCCCATTCCCTCATGCTGCTTTTACAGATCAAAAGTAAAGTAAAGTCAAATATTTATACCTAATTATAGCTTCTTTATAATGCTTTTGGAGATTGGAGATTTTATAGTTGCTTCTTTATTTTGCAAAAGAGAAATTATATACATCCTTCTTTATCATACTAGAGTTACGCTTAAGTCAGAGATTTGAATTGATTTTTTATGTATACATTTAGTATTATTCTAGCCCAGGGGTCTCCAACCTGTAGCTCGGGAGCCACCAGTAGCTCGCCACCCCCTTCCAGGTAGCTCGCCAAAGGATCTAGTAGTTAACAAACTATAATATACTTATAATATTATATAACATTTCAGGTGGTTTATTCATTCTCCTTATTTATTATTGTAACTGCACATACTTTGTCATTAGTAACATGTGACGATAAATAATAACTGTACTCGATATCAGACTAGTACACACCAATATTTCACCAATTTTTTTCCTCAGGGCCGCTTAAAGAAGTAGCTCTCTGCCATTATTGTCCCGGGAAAGTAGCTCTCTGGGTGAAAAAGGTTGGAGACACCTGTTCTAGCCAAACGTTTTTTCATTTATCTTGTGCTGCGTGCTACTGATTCCTGCTGCTCTGTAACCATTGAGGCAACACTGAAATTTCCCCACTGTGCAAATAAAGGACCTATTAATCTAGTCTTTATCTATGAATTTACTGATAGAATAAACAACAAAGCAAATGCATGTATAACTGAGCCAATTCGATTCGCTGACTTGTTTCTCAGCGCAATCACAATAAGCATTTTCAATTTCACACGTAGAGCTTCTGTTTGGCTGGGAAGCATCTTTCTTTTAATGCTCTGAACCTTGTGAGAAAGTGACAGAAATTATAGCGCTAAAGATTATACCGAGCAGGATGGATGCAGTTCCCCACGACATAAGCCGAAATAAGTCCTCTTTCCTCTAAATTTACTGCATCACTGTAAAACACATAATATTGCACAGTTATGTTTTTATTTTTTTACCTTCCAATGACACATCTCACAAAGTCGGACGCTGGCCTCGTCTTCAATCGTTTAAAGACTAATGAAAACGATTATCAAACATTTTGAGTTGACCTGTGATTGAAAGGTTTCATAAGGCCGTAGTTCTTTCTTCTCATTTTTTTTTCTCTCTGTATTTTGACAGATAAAAATAATTTGATCAATTTGAAAATGATTAAAAGCTATTAATTCTATGGAATACACTGGGATTTTGTGAACGTCTATTTGAATCAATATGGTGCATTTCAGGGAATCTTGTATATAATAAATAAACCGGAAACAGTACTAGTTTATTTTTCACCTCATACAGTAATTCACCGCATTCAGTTTTGTAGAAGAGCTGAAGCCAAGTGAACCTTTCAGGCCTGATAACAACTCTAGATAAAGTCTGAGATTCTTGGTGCGGCCTCCTCTGCTTTTTCATTTTTTTTCAACTACCTGGTTACATGCTATGCTTTAATACAATGGACTTGATGTTAAACATAGATTTAGTCTGGAATTATTGCTCAGAAGAAGTCCCTACAGCTCTGGCCTTTCATCCCTGTTGTATGCTGTGTTGTGTGCTGTGTTGTGTGCGGTGTGTGTTTGGTGTGTGTCTGGTCCTCTCCCGCTCTCAGCTGGACTCTGGCTCCTGCTCTGTGATTGAGGAGGATTAGAGTGGCCAGAGCCAGCAGTAGGTCTGGCTGAACTAGAGCTTTTCCCGGCTGCCTATTTCTTCTCCAGACATCTTCATTCTGGTCACTTCTCATGAGGCAGAAGGTCATGTGTGCATTATGTGTGTGTGTGTGTGTGTGTGTATACAAATATACATGTTTTCTGTTGAATATTTGCATTTTATATTAATTTCCTATAATCACACAATAGGAGCAGGACAAGTTCAATAGAATAAGCTCTAAATTTCCGATTATTTGTTTTTGGTAAATTCTGAATCAATCATGTGTAAATCTCTTAAAATGCTATTTGTAAATTAATATAGGGATTACTATTGCAACAAAACATCATCAGTTGGGTACAAGTAACATGTCTCCTGACGGTCTAAGTCTACATGTGAAAACAAATACATAATACTGTAAATGTATGCATAATTCTAATCAGTCAATACTAATTTTGTCAATTGATATAAGTAATATTTGTATGTCTATATTCTCTTATTCCAAATAATACTTGATATAGTATATATCAAGTATCTATCTATCTGTCTATCTATATAGCTATCTATCTAATACTGGTTCTAATAGATACACAGACACATAGACTATATCCACACGAAGACAAAACGCTTATAATTTCAGAAACTTTTTCTGTAAACACGGAGTTAGCTCAGTAAATGTGTGCGTCCATATGAATGTAGTCAATACGCCTGAAAACGCTGTGAAACTATGCCAGACCTGTTGGTGGCGCTGTGACGCAATGACGGGATCAAGCCCAAACTTCCGTGGGCATGCGCAGAATTTTGTAAACAGACAACATGGCAAGTGGGCGAGCTGGTACTACATTAGTATGGACGGACGATGAGGTTGAACTGTTGCTTCGGGTCACACTGGATTACAAAACCAACAAGCTACATTGTTGTTGTCATTATTTTCTGAGTGCGGCGCATGCGTGCTTTAACAAGAGGCAGGGCGATGACGCAAGCGTCTCAGATACATTGCGGAGAGGCAGTAACCACGGAGCGGCATATACGGAGTTTTGAAATCTTTCCACTCTGGGACCTACTTTCAAAAATGTTCGTTTACACCCCCCCAAAACGCCGGCCTCGTATGGACGATACACTGGATTGATAAAGTATTTTTGCGTTTAGGCCTGAGCTTGACTTCGTGTGGACAGGGCCATAGAGCAGCAGGCAGGACTCACTGATACAGGCCAGAATATCAGCATCTATACTAATTGGATGATATATTCTATTTACAAAATGAAAGTTGGATAAACCTGGCTCATTGTGGCAGCAGAGGGACAGATAGAGCAGGAGAGAGTTTGAGCTCTGGGGCCTCAGCGGAGGGCAATGGTGCGGATCCTGTCAGACCAGTCATTGTCCAGGAACTGACTCTCAGAGGGCTTCCTACCTCCACATAGTGCACTAACACACACCAGCACACACATACACGCACACACAGACACTCATACACACACCAGCACACAGACACACACGCAAACCAGCACACGCAGACACTCATACACACACCAGCACACACACACACATACATACACACTGGCACACACACCAGCACACACACACCTACACACACCTGTTATCTGTTCCATGGCCCCAGAGAGACTTCAGGAACACTGCTCCTCATTGTCACTGGTTCAAAGTTCATTCATCTTTTTGGCTGCAATTAGCAAACTGGAAATGTCACCCATCCATCCATTGTCCTCCACTCTATCCACGGCCTGTTCACAGAAGCAGTAGCTCGATGAGAGACGCCCAGACTTCCCTCTCACATGTCTGGGAACACACTCCAGCTCATTCAGGGTAATCCTGAGGTGTTCCAAGACTGGCTAGGTCTTCTCCTGGGCCGACTCCTGGAGGAATATGACCAGAATATCTCCCCAGACGTGGAGGAGCTATTCAATTCAATTTGTTCTTGTATAGTCTTAAATCACAACAGTAGTATCTCAGAGGACTTTACACAAGGACTTTACACAAGGACTTTAGTTGAATTCACCAACATAGATCAGAAAATAAAACAGTTCAAACACAAGAAAAAAAACAAACAGAAAGCATATTGGTATAGGTCCATAAAGGGCAGATTAGCAATGTCCGTAAGTGTTGATTAATCTCCATCGATGTCTTTAGCAGCAGCTCTACTCCAACCTCTTGCCTCATGTTCTGAAAAGACGGCACCTCTGGGAACATGGCTGCATGCATCTCCAGAAGTGTTGGAGGCTTTAACAATTTACCCTTCCCTGATCCTTATCATGATTTATATTTGTGCACAATGAAATGAAACCAAAAACAAAACGGAAACAAAATCTTTTCAAAATCGTATGTCAAACAGTCCCCTGTTACTCTATCGGTGAGATCTAAACATTGACAAAACCTTTTTGTATCCTGCTATAATCCTGCACAGGCAGTGATGCGCATCGCCTCCAAATAGAATCATGTGTTCACTGGGCCGTTGCACATGTTTCCTGTTCATGTTTGTTCATCCATATACTCTGATAACTTTTTGAGATATGTTGCTCACTGGCTCAGTCCTTTGGTCACTTTACCTCCTGGACAGAGGGAATTAGGTATTCAAGGTTATGCATTAACAAAACTAAAGCGGAAATTAAGACTGAAAGACACACAGTATGACATACTTAAACTCACAGCACTCAAATTCCTCCCACCGTCGCTTCACGGCAACAACCTCTGTCAATCACACTTAGCTGTAGCGCCACACTGCCCTCACCTGGCAGCGATCAGGCACAGCCTCATATCGCAAGTAAGCTCCAGCCACGCCGCAACCCTCCTCCTCCCCATCTTCGCCTCGTTCCAGGCCACCTATTTCATCCTTCTCTTAGTTCCCACCACCAGGGTCTAGGCCCTGGGGATTTCATCTCATAATCTCTCTCCCCTTTTCCAGTGCTCTGCCGGGGTCTAAGCGCCAAATCCTAACCACATTTCTGTACAGCAACAATAAATGTAATCTATGTAGTTTATGGAGAAGCCTTGAAAAAGTCCTTCTTTTGATATTGTACAAACCCTGATCCTTTCCATGTGCGATTATTTTATGAGCACATAAATCCAATGAATTTCGCCGCACAGATCCAAAACACGCAAACGTTCCCAGTTCACAACCAGCTGAAACAGGCACCACTTACACAGCCTTTGATTTGACAAACGATGAATGCTTTTCTCACTGCTTCTGCTCAGCGTCAGCCATGTTTTGTTGGGTCATAGGAATTGTGTGCGTGTGAGTGGTGTCCCGCTGGGCTCTGCAGTCTTTAGTTCTTTCGCTAATTTGTCTTTTTTCACCCCTTCCTCCCAGCGCCAAGACGCCCGGATCATCGTGGGGCTCTTCTACGAGACGGAGGCCAGGAAGGTCTTCTGCGAGGTAATTACTCTAACGCTTTGTAATTTCCCAGACAATGAGCAGCATTCGAGTGGAAAGACTTTTAAGTATGTTTGTGCCGAGTACGGGCTCTGGATAATGTATTGTTTTGTATGGCGCTTTTTGGACACTGAAAGACGCTTCACATTATTATTCATACACTCCATACATGATGGTGATGAACTAATATTGTAGCCACCGCTGACCTGGGGCACATTGACAGAAGCAAGGCAACAGTATGTGCCATCAACGCCTCTGACCACAACCCACAGACCAGACTCACTCTAATGGGTGAAGTGTTTTACCTTAGGAAACAGCGGCAGTTTCCCACCGTGGCACCTGGTGTTACTCTAGGTCTCCCATCATAGTACAACCCAAGCCATAAACTGGTTAGCTTTAGAGGTCTGAAAGGGTCTGGCTTTCAAATGCAGGTGGTGCCACAAAAATGTTAGAAGCAGGTTCTCAGTCTGGTTTTGTAGGTATTCACCTTGAATTTAGGGCTGGGTGATATGACAATATAGTAAAATCTAAATTTTATATCCTGCTTTGGACGATTTTGATTTTAAATTGATTTTCATTAAAGTCATTAAAGTCCGTCATTAAAGTAAATACAATATTTTTTTATCTTTCCGCTCAATATTCAAGTTTCAAAACTATTTTTAATTTGTTTCCCCCAAGACGTATTATAAAAGTCTTGTACAGACTGTGCTGATATTACCAGTATAATTCATGTGCTGCTGGCACATTCACATTTTTCACAAATTCGATTTTTCAAAAGTCAATTAATTGCCTAAATTTGATTTATTGCCCAGCCCTGCTTGAATTTGATATCTGAAAAAGTGACTGCAGACATCCTCAGATGTGACCTGTAACTCGGCCCGGTTGTGGTGAGTGAGGGAAACCTTTCTGTTTCATTCATTCCTTTGGCTTGGCCCGTTTAGGTCTGGCAGATCTGTTTAATGGCCATGCTTCAGATGGAGCCAAAACATTTATGCCCAATTTCAATTATTTTTGGTTGAGGTTGGAAGATGCCTCTTCAGAGCCTTGGAGCCCTGGACCTGTGCTGTGGAGCTCCAGGAGTCCACACACAGGAGCCGTGATCACGTAAACCAAACAGTCCACCACAGCAGGTGACTGGTGCAAAACAAACACAACCAAGAAAGAATGACTTCACACATGTCATTAAAGTGCTCATTCATCTAATTTCAGAGCTTATTCGGCCAATTTATATGCATACTGAGTACTAGTTATATACACAAACTTAAAGGGCTTTAATTATTCAAGACAAGAAAAGGGCTTGCAGAGAGCAGACCTCCACAAAAGGGAGTCCCATTAATGAATATCCTGAATCCAAACGTGGATCCAGATCAACTCCAAAATGTAATTATTTTTTTTCCGTGTCCTATTCTCAAGTTTTCCTGAACATACGCCAGAACATTTTGAGTCATGTTGCAAACTACCATACAGACAGACACAAACTGGTGATAACATAACTGTGCCTCCACCCAATGCTACGTTAGCGTTCTGACCTACAGTGTATGTCCTGTATCATTGGCAGGTCTACAAGGAGAGGCTGTTTGGGAAGAAGTATGTGTGGTTCCTGATCGGCTGGTACGCAGACAACTGGTTCAAGATCAAAGACCCAGCCATAAACTGCACCGTGGAGCAGATGACCGAGGCCGTGCAGGGTCATGTGACCACGGAGATTGTCATGCTGAACCCCGAGACGGTCCGAGGGGCTTCCAACCTGGTAAGGAACACAGAGAGAGGTCTAAAGAACACATTTGCTTGCTTTGTTTGTGTCCATGTCGGCCCTGAAACATGACTAAAATATTCACTTTAGCTGTGTTGATCTTCTAGAATTTTAGTTCAGTATATGGAGACAGAAGAATTTTTAAAACCTTTGTTGAAAAAGAAATTGCCCAGGTCATTATTTGATTATTATTATTATTAATTAGTGACACATGTCTGAAAGTCATTTCTACTGAACAACATCACACATGGAGGGTGAGAGTGGCTCAGTTGGTAGAGCATTGGCCTTTGGGCCTGAAGGGCGTGGGTGCGAGCCCACCATTAGACACTTGACCCCACTTTGCCTAAAGCCCTCGGTGAAATATCAAGGCTCCTGTGGACTTACCACCTGCAGGAGGATCAGTGAGGGGCTGGTGCTATGTGAACTGGGTGTAGCTCTGACTGCCTGGATGGAAGGGTGGAACATCATACATTTTGAATGTTGTGCAGTTTCTAGACTCCTTTATGAGAAAATAAATAGACGATTTTTGATATTTTCTGACAAAGGAGATGTGAAACCAAGACTAGAATCTGACATTTGACGCCAGGGTGCAGGACAAAAAGGTTGGGAATTTATTTCAACAGCTGTAAAGCACCTTAACGGCACATAGTAGCACTTTATAAAAACTATTACTATTATAAGTAATAGTAATAGTTCATACTCTTCATACTCTAAATTGCACTGAAATTAGCGTTGTTTACATTTTCTCAAATACTTGTAATCTTCTATGTTGTGATTTTAGAGGATTGCTCGCTACCAATTTCCCCTAGTGTGATAATAAAGATAACTTTGAACTTTGAACTTACCATATAATTGCCAGCTTCTCTCCACCACATCTATAGGTCAGATCCAGATTCAGTTTAGGCTATTGTGAATGCTGTGTTATGATAGGAATCCAACCTATTCCAATGTTTTAGAAGGTAAAATCCCTTCTTAAGTAGAATAAATGTGTTCTCCTACCCACATGTTGTTGTGACTGCACATGCCCGGCGACCATGAAGAGAAGTGAGTGGCATTATAGACTGTAGCTGTGGTGCACCTGGAGGCGGGGGGTGCGGCGGCTGAATGTGGGGGTCTCTGGTGGGATTGTGAATGAGTATAGTCTGAGCCTGAGGTGGTCCTCTGCTGCACACCAAGGACCAGCCCACTCCACTGTTTGTTTAGCTCTGTGTAATTACTTAAACACTCACATGGGTGTCTTACACTGCATTTTAGAATAGTAGTTTTTGTTATGAGTGGGTGGGCATTTTTGTAATGATCCATGGAAGCAGAGTTGTATTTTCTGTGATTTAATTAAAGTAAAAACTATAAAACAGGCATTGCAGTCGCCAGCTCCATGGATATTCCATCTGTCTCCTGAAGCACAATTGAATACTTCCAAGCTTTGTCACATGAGCGTGGTCACTCATTCACCAGTTACTACAAGAAGAAACACATGTCACACCTCCACAACTGATCGTAAGAAAATAGGTAACTCAAGGAAGAAAGGAGGGAAGAGAAACAAGGGGAGTCAAAAGGGGGTTCAATATGACATTTTTCTGATATGGCAAAGCGGTCATTATAGAGAGAAATCACTGCCTTAGTAGTAACATCAATCAACGTCTTAGTTATGAAATAGACAATATTGATCTCTACCTAACATAACATTCCCAAATCATTTTGTGTCATAAAACAGAGGCCACTAAACCATTTGTTATACATTAAAATCCCTCATACTGTTTGAACTATATGCTTACAGGTATATAGGAAAGAACCGCCCAGAGGGAACGCCAATTAAAACGTGTATCGCATATCAACAGAATTATTGACAATTAAAAGGACCAATGGTTTTTTTGTTTATTGTTTAGTTTATTTGGTTGGGACAGTACATGTTAATGAACACGTGGCTACAATCCTGATTGGAGCCATGGTCTAATTTCTATCCGTCTTCCCACAGTCGCACTCACGAACACACACTCATTCACCATGAACTATTGTACATGTTTATAGTGATAGGGGAAACCGGAGCACCCGGAGGAAACCGGAGCAGACACGGGGAGAACATGTACATTACACTCAGAAAGGCCCTGTTCCAACCAGGATTCAAACCCAGGACCTTCTTAATGAGAAGTGACAGTGCTTTCCACTCAGCCACTGTGTCGCCCGCGGTCTAGATTATCCACCCGGAAGAACATTTTCCAATTTATCATTGTCATTTTCTGCCATAAAAATGAGGCTGGGGTGCAGAAAACGTATTACCAAATGATTACGAGTCCAGAATAATGATTGTAGCCAACCAATCGGTGTTGGGTTTGGATTAGGTTTAGGTTTGACAATCACAGGGCTGTGATGGCTGCCCTCTGGTGGTAGCATAGTGAGTTACATGCAGAAACTTTGCCCTTCATACCAGTGGGGGCGGGTCCCAGCTCAAAAGTGGCCAAAATGATGTGCGCTGACATGCTTGCAATACCACCCCGGGCCGATGGGGGTGGACCCAGAAGAAGAATTAGCTAATGCTAACATATAGCGCTGGCAGACCTCTCAAAAACATATTTACAGGATGCACCAAAAGTTGTCTCTTGGCCCAAAGCCCCGTTCCACATGTGTGTCAATGCTGAAGGGGGTGGATTTTTTTGGTCCTTTCTAGTTTACTTGCTGTGAATTTTTGAAGTCTCTCGTTCAAATGAATGGAGCTGCGCCGGCTGACGCATGCGCAGATGCGTTTTTTCACAATTTTCTTGTGGGCGGGACCACTCGCGGCCATCTTGGATTGCTCCATGAAAGCACTTTTCATGGCCAACTCCTATGAACGGCGGAGATAGGCGTGACTCTGTCCGTTATTATATACAGTCTATGCTTCATACTTGTTTCACAATATCTTTCCACTTAAGATTGTATGTCACGTTCTAAAACATGGAATGACAAAATAAATCTTCTCATTATCATTTTGAACGGCCTAAAATAATGCATAATATTTCTTCTTAAATCATGCTGCTCTTAGTTGTGAAAATTGTTAGCTCTAATCACATTTAACATATTCGTTTCAGCTCTAAAATCTCCATCACTAACACTAAAACGGCAGGCACCGTGTACTTCATCATCTCCCTCATACATAGTTCTAAAACGTGTTCCGCTGACAGGTAGATGGATGCGACAATAACATGTGTATTCTTTGGAGGAAACGGCGATTGGAGCCGTGTGGGTGTTCAGACAGTGACGCACAACACATCCTGCTGTTAAAAGCACACAGCGCAGACACACAACAGACCAAAATAACAGCAGTGGGCGGGACTCCGGGGTTCAGGAGCCAATCGGAAGCTGCATGGTGCTGATGGCAGAGGTGGGAACATAGGACTTGCTTTGATTTAACCCCATGCGATGGAGTGCGAGTCTGTAGGGACAAAACTGTAGTTAAAGGGGACCTAGCATGCTCTCTTATATAAGTTATGATACAATACACATTGTAAACATGTATGTTACAATGTGTATTATTTTTATTCTTTAGGCTATGACGTCTTCCACATCCCGGGACGTGCAGTCATCAGCTTCACACTTGTGTTTTCTCACTTAGAATTTTTCCTGCTTGTACCTCTTGGAAAAATAGATTGCAGTTTCCAGGTGTTATCTTTTTTCTTGAATTATTATAGAATTTTCCGTTGATCGATGACAGAGTTAAAGTACACCACTCATACCTCATTGTGTGCCTTTTTGTCTCTTGATTATGAAAATAAATGGTCTTTCTCCTCCTGAGTTGATCCTGTCTCTGCAGATGAGACTTATGAGTCAAACTCTGAGCCATCTAAACAACAGGAGTGGTAAAGCTTTTTCTGTCTGAACTGCCTGAATGTGTGAGTGGCTTTACATAATTTAACTTTATTATGAACTCTGGTATATTCCAATATTCCGCAGGAATCTACTCTGCTGTAGAAAAATATTTGATCATGCATCATGCATGTTTTGGATGGAGGTTCTGCAACTGCCTTGTCTCCATGGAGATTTGGGTTGGTATAATAAAAACACAAAACATTTCAGAATCAAAGAGTGTACAAATATATATTTAATAAGTTAATTCATATTGTGGTGCCAACTGCAAGTAAGATTCAAAATCTAGTTAGACATCAGAAATTAAGCAGGGCAAGGCCTGGTTAGTTAAAGGATGGGACACCTCTGGGAACAGCATGTTGCCACAGTGGGGTAGCTGCTCCTGTGTCTTTAGGCAAGACACTACCCCTACATTATCTTGAATGAGTCCGGTGTTGTCGCGGCCAACGGCACATACTGGTTATACAATGCATCTTTTTGTTATATAGCGTTTTTTTAGACAAGCAAAGATACTTCACATCTCATTATTCTTTTACTCCATATTTGGTGAGAAACTACTACTATAGCGAGGCAATCAGTATGTGCGATCAGCCCCTCTGACTACCATCAACCATTCACACACACACACACACACACACACACACACACACACACACACACACACACACATACACGTTTTTGTTACCTGGTGGGTCCCTTTGACAGGGCCGTTCAGAATGGGACCCATAGACATAATCTTTTTTTACCAAGACTTTAAGTAATACAAAACAGTCAATAGAAACCAAACAACTATTTTAAAGGAATTTTATTTTAGATTTTGTTTTCGAATTGCAGTGATTCTATTTTTGACATAGAATTTAATGCCACTCCATGTCCGATGTCTAAGGTCATCTGGTGAGGCATTAATGCAGGCCAGGCAGTGAGACTTCCCAGGGACCTTTCCAGTCTGTATGAAAGTTGTCATGGTCTTCTCCACAGCCTTCACCTCAGATGCAGACCATGGCTTTCTTACACGTTCTAGGGAGAGAAATAAAAATATATTAGCAATATACACTCCCAGGGTGAGGACCAAGCAGCCTGGCTGTAATCCCCCACCTGGTACACTTACCAGAAGGGGCACTGCCACTACCATGGGGTGCATCTGGATGAATGGTTGA